CATCTAAGAGTTAGACAGTGAATTAGAGTTAGAAAAGAGAAGACTAGATGCCTTTAAGACGTGGTGCCTGAGAAGAACACTCAACATCATATGGACTGCCGAAAGAATAAACAAGTATGTCTTGGAGAGAGTGCAGTCAGGATGTTCCTTAGAGAGAAGGCTGGTGAATCTTGATCTCACATACCTGAGGGTGTTGTTAGCAGGGGCCAGTCCTTGGGGAAAGAACATGGTTGGAAAAGTGAAGGAGGGAGAGACTCTGAAGGAGGTGGATTGACCCAGTGACTTTAACAGTGGGCTCTAGTGTGACAGAGATGATGAGGAACAGTGCAGGGCTGCTTTCAGACTTGATGTTCAGTAAGGTCACCATGAGTTGACTTGCTGGCATCTAACAACAGCAATACAATTTTTCTTCTCTTCTCTTTGTGTGTGTGTGTGCATGTGTGTGCCTTTGGTATAATAGCTAGGAAGCCATTTTCCAACAATTTGTGAATACTTCTGTATTTTCTTCTACAGTTCTTTTATCATTTCAGGTCTTATATTTAAGTTTATGATCCTATTATTTAGTTAATTTTTCTGCATGGTATAAAATAGAGATTAGATGTCATTATTTTGCATATCTAGGTACTATTTTTTAAATAATCCCCCCTTTTTAATTATTTTGGTATGTTGTTTTTATGTGCCATTGAGTAGCTTGTGACTCATAGCAACCCTATACCCAACAGCTCTGAACCCTGCCGTATCCTAAGCTAGTCTCACCACTCCAACACATCTACCCCCATTACCCTCGTTACTGAGTCAGTCTTTCTCATCCAGGGTCTTCCATTCCTTTTCTGTCCCTCCACTCTTCCAACATGATGGCCTTCTCTAAGGATTGGTCCCTCCTGGCCATGTACCCACTGTATGTGAGACAGAGTTTCAAAATCCTTGCCTCCAAGGAGCATCTTAGTTTCACTTTTGCCAAGACACACCTATTTGTTCTCCTAGTGGTCTGTGGTTAGTTCAGTACTCTTCTCCAGCACCACAACTCAAAGTCATTGATTTTTCTGTCATCCTTAGTCATTGTCCAGCTCTCTAATGCATAGCAAGTAATTGCAAAGACCATGGCCTGTATTACATGGACCTTAGTCTCTAGACTGACATCATTGCTCTCTAGCACTTTGGAGAGGCCCCTGACAGCGGACTTTCTCAGTGCAATTCATCTTGTGATTTCCTGACTGCTGGTGCCAAGAATGTTGATTGCAGAGCCAAGCAAGCTCAAATTGTTAACAATCTCAGTCTCTTCTCCATTCGTCTTGGAGCTGCCAGTTGGCCCGGTTATGAGAATCTTATCATTATAATCGTTCATGCTTTTGTCATTACTGTTATGTGCCCTCTGTCTGAACCACGTCATAGCTGACCTTCCAGTGGGTAGGACAATAAGTTACATGGGAGAAGATTGCTCGTCTTTCTCCCATAGAATAGCTGGTGGATTTGAACCTTTAGATTGGCAGTGAAACTTCTTATTGCTAAGCCACCAGAGCTCTCAAAGCTAATATATGTATTAATGCAGCTACTTTATTCTTTTCGTAACTTTATTATAGTCTCTGTTAGGTGCTGTTGGGTTGGAACTGGCTTTTCAAGGGTAGTAAATCACATGCAGATTGACCATAGTATGGTTATTTGAAAAAGTATTTATTTTGAAATAATATAGAAATCACTTGATCATGCTTATATGAAACCTATGCTTGGACCAACAAGCTGTCCTCAGAAGAAGCAAGGAAACACTGCATGGTTCAAAATCAGGAAAGGAGTGTGTCAGGGATGCATCCTGTCCCATACCTTTTCAATCTGTATGCAGAACAAATTATTCAGGAGGCAGGGCTTTATAAGGAGGAGTGTGGCATCAAGATTAGAGGAAGACTCATTAAAAACCTGCGTTATGCAGATGACACGACCTTGCCTGCTTAAACTGAAGAAGAAGCACTTGCTGTAGAAGGTCAAGGACTGTAGTCTTCAAAATGGATTGAAGCTTAGCATCAAGAAGACAAAGATTCTCATCACTGGGCCAATTGGCAGTTGGCAGCGCCATAATAGATGGGGAAGAGATTGATGTTGTTAGCAATTACAGCTTGCTCAGATTCACAGTCCACACTCTTGACACCAACAGTCAGGAAATGAAAAGATGAATTATTGCATTGGGAAAATCTGCTGTCATGGACCTTCTGCAGAATGCTGAACAGTAACAATGTCAGTCTAGATACAAAAGAGCACCTAATCCAGGCCATGGTATTCTCAATTACTTGTTAAGCTTCAGAGAGTTGGACAATAACTAAGGATGACAGAAGAAGAATAGATGCCTTCGAGTTGTGATGTTAGAGAAGAGTCTTTAACATACCATGCACTGCCAAGAAAACAAATTAGATCTGTCTTGGAGAGGGTGAAACAAAGTCTCTCCTTAGAAGCTAGGATTTTGAAACTCTGCCTCACTTAGGGCATGTGGTCAGGAGAGACCAGTCCTTGGAGAAGGACATCATGCTCAGAAGGGTGGATGGACAGTGCAGGAGAGGAAGCCCCTGGATGAGACAGATTGATACAGTAACTGGGACAATGGGAGTTAGTGTGTCAGAATTAGTGAGACTGGCTCAGGACAGGGAAGGGTTCAGACCTGCTGTACATAGGGTCACTATGCATTGCAGGCAACTCAGCCAGTAACATTCTATGACTGGTTTGGAAGCAGGAGTGGCATCGACTTCTTAAACAGCATGCCTCCTTTGGAAACTCTATGAGCTTTGATAAATGTTGATAGTTGTAGAGGGACTTCAGGCCTTTTGTTTATAGGATCACCTTGAGTCTTGCTCTACTTGAAAAGTTTATTGAAAAGTTTCACAGGTGATGCTAGGAGTTGGCTCACCTATTCACCATATTCTGTCACTCATTTTCCTCTAATGCATTTAATCAAATAACTATTTTCACAGCCAAATGTTGAGTGATGCAGAGTCTACAATCACCAGCAAAATATCATGCACACGCTCTATCAGTGCATTGGATATGCTTTATTCACCTAGAGAAGAGATAGAGCAAGGTCAGCTTCACGTTAAGAATATGAGTCCTTACACGAGTGCTCGTAGCAGCAGTATTCACAATTGCAAGAACATGGAAACAGCCCAGATGTCCAACCACAGTTGAGTGGATTGAGAGCTAATGGTACATTCACATGATGAAATACTATGTAGCACTCAGGAGTAATGATATCCATAATGACTACATAATTTGGGAGAGACTGGAGAGCATTATGTTGAGTGAACTAACTCAGTCTCATAACAACAAATCCTGCATAAGACCAATATTGTAGTGATGGGAAGATAAGTAAGAAAACGTGTAGGAGAATTCAAGGAGGGGAGGGTGGGAGCAGAGGGGTGAGGATAGGCGTGGGGGAAATAATAAGGTTGCACAATTTGTTGCGTGGAGGGGGGGGGAGTAAAGGAAATGGGAAAGATCCAGTGGGGATGCTGGAAAGACAGGGTAATGGTAGGCATAGTTCAATGTTCATTAATTTTATAAAACATAATGAATGGGAATGATTATCTGAAACCCAGATCCTACATACAGCTGAGGCAGAGCTGATGTTTTACGTTCACGCCTCTCTTGTAATGGAGGGTCCCTGTCCCCTCCTCACCAAGAAAAGATGTAAGAGGAATTGACCGGGTGCCATGTGGTGCCTACATAAGTGCAAGAGACAGAGAAAGCTACTGTGTGCATAGAACAAGGGAGCTCGAGTGGCACAGTGTGTCTGAAAGGTCAGGAGTTTGAACCCATCAGGCGCTCCATATGAGAAAGATGAGCAGTCTCCTCCTATAAAAATGTACAGCTTTAGAAACCCAGCAGACAATCACGGCGAGTTGAAATTGACTCCAGAGCAGTGAGATTAGTAAGGGGAAGGCTGTTCTGATGAAGGAACAGCTTCCTTACAGAGTCTGTTTGGAATGAGGATCTTTACTTAAGCAATCAGAATGGAGCTCTTCTCCCAATACCAATACCAGGTACATTCACCTGTTCATTCACTGCTGTTGAGATGGTTGAAACTCTCCAGCAACTCTCTAAGGCTAGAAAACTTAACAGAAAGAGACTGTCCATCTTTTTCCCCTGGAGCAGCGGGTGAGTTTGCAGCCCTTTGACTAGCAGCATAACACCCTATAGACTATGCCACAAGACCTCCTCCACTGTCATAGCAGTATTGACTAAACTTTATTCTAATTTCATAGCTTTCCCCTCTACTGGCTTTTGTCTGTTATAGGACATAACCCAAGATGCTACATTGCATTTAGTTTTATTCCTTTTTAAATGTCTAATTCTTTAAGGCAGGTAAGATGTGCCCATGGTATAACATTCAAATGGTAAATAAGGTTATACAGTGAAAAGTCAGTCTCTTTCATGCCTCCATCTCCTGTGCATGTAAAAGTGTTGATACCTCCATACATACGCACATGGACAAAGTAGCCCATTAAGCCCAGCAATGATTACTGACAAGAGACGCAAACAGGGAATGGTAGACAGGTGTCGTGGACCTCTAGAACAATGCTAATGTAGCAGGCAAGGAGTTCTGATGGCATAGTGGTAAGGAGTGGCACTGGCCACCCAAAGGTACACAGTTTGAATCCACCAGCTGCTCCATGGGAGCAAGATGGGCATTCTCCTCCCAAGCGATTAACTGCCTCTGAAAACCTGCTGGAGAGTCAGCTTTTAGTCTCTTCTGACTCAGCAGTACACAACAGCAACGTGACCTCCTAACATGAGTGAGGAGTCTCTCACCTAATAGAGCTCTGCACAACTTAGAACTGTGTAATACGTGTGTGAGACAATGCTATGCATTGTCACCTTACACAAGGGGCAAGGTGTCATTAAGTTGTAGACATGCTGACACAGAGGGGTAGTGGGCTATGGAACAGTGTGCCAAGGCAGGACACAAGGCCCACTGGCTTGGAATCTCTGTCATTCTCACTCAAGTTCTCATTGGTTGACAGGCTTGTTTCCGAGGCAGAGTTATTTGTGGCTGTGCAGAGCTTCCTCCTGTCTCTGCAGGACCAGGGTGAGCATCCCCCACTAGTGGTCTTCAGAGCCTCCATCTATCTGCTTGCCTTCTGCCAGGACAAGGATGGTGCACTAGACAAGGTATGAACTGTGATGCCCCCTCCTCCTGCACACCTTATATTGTGTGGCTAGCTGACCATGGTAATATACGCGTAAAGAGGAAAACAAGAGAGAGGGAGTGGTGGGGAGGAGTAAGGAGAGAAGGTGCTGCCATGTGCAGAGCCTTTGTCCTTGAAACCAAGAACCTAAACACATTGCTTTCGAGTCTGTTCCAAGTAGCAGTGCCCCTGTTGAACACAGTAGAACTGCCCCTAGGTTTCCAAGATTGTTATCTTTAAAGAAGCCACAGCTTTCTCCCATGAAGGAAGCAGTCAGTTTGAACAGGCAGCCTTTCAGTTAGCAGGCAAGAAATTAACCACTGCACCACCAGGGCTCCTTCAAAGTATGTGTAATTTGGTTTAGTCTCTCAGTAGCTCTGCGAGGTAGAAATTGTTGTTATTAAGTGCTCTTGAGTTAAGTATGACTCACAGCAACCCTGTAAACAACAGATCTGAACCCTGTCCTGTCCTGTGCTGTCCTCACACTTCCTGACACACACAAGCCCATTGCGGCAGCCACTGTGTCAGTCCACCTCTTTGAGGGTCTTCCTCTCCTTCGCTGACCATCCACACATCCAAGTATCATGTCTCTCGCCAAGGAATAGTCAGCCCCTCCTAGCAACATGCCCAGAGTATGTAAGGCAAAACCTCATCATTCTTGCTTCTAAAGAGCACTCTGGCTGCACCCTTTCCAAGACATATTTGTTTGTTCTTTTGGCCATCTGTGGGATATTCAGTGCTCTTCTCCAACACCACAGCTCAAAAGGCATCAATTCTTCTGTCATCTCTACTCATTGTCCAGCTCTCAGGTGCATAGCAAGTGATCAGAAACATCATGGCCTGAAAAACATTGCACCTTAGTCCTCAAACTGACATCATTACTCCTCAATAATTTGGAAAGGTCCCTAACTGAAGATTTTCCCAGTACAGTGCATCTCCTTATTTCCTGGCTGCTGGTATTAACTGTGGATCCAAGTAAGATGAAGTTGTTGACAGTTTCAGTCACCTCTCCATCCATTATGATATTAACTATCAGGTCCAGTGTTAAGAATCTTTGTTTTCCTGACATTGAGATGCAATCCATACTGAAAGCTGCATTCCTTGTTCTTCTGCAACAAGTACTTCAAATCCTCCTCACTTTCAGCAACCAAGGTTGTGTCATCTGCTTAACGCAGGTTATTGGTAGTCTTCTTCTGATCCTGTCACATTCCTCTTCATAGAATGCAGCTTCTAGAATAATTTGCTCAGCATATGGAATAAATAGATATGGAGAGAGAATATAACCCTAATGCACTCCCTTATTAATTTTAAACCATGCAGTGTTCTACTGCTCTGTTCATACAACAGCTTCCTGGTCCAGGAATAGGTTTCACATGAGGTGGACAGTGAATAAGGATTACAGAAAAAGAATAGATGCCTTTGAGTTGTGGTGCTGGAGAAGAGTATTGAACATACTGTGGAGTGCACATGGCCAGGAGAGACCAATACCTGGAGAACATCATGCTTGGAAAGGTGGAGGGACAGCGCAGGAGAGGAAGACCCTGGATGAGTGATTGACACAGTGACGGGGTAATAGGGGCAGGTGTGTTGGAAACAATGACATTGGCTCAGGATAGGGCAGAATTCAGAGCTATTGTGCATAGAATCGCTGTGAGTGGTCGATCGTCCAGCGCCGAAGCACCAGGCCAGGGCCTTAAATCCCACCCAGAGACACGTGGAGGCATACCTCTATCACAGAAGACTTCTGACAGGGACAGCTTCCGGGTGTGGCCAAGATGCTCCAGAGCCTTGTTACAAACGTTTGGGTCCTCATGACGCCCTACTATGCCCAGGTATACCAGGAGATCTGGGTGGGGATGGGCTTAATGGGCTTCATCATTTACAAAATCAGGAGTGCTGATCAAAGAATCAAAATTTTAAAAGCCTTGAGTTCTGCACCTGCTCATAGTCACCATTGATCCACTGTCCATTGCTGTCAAGCAAGACATCGGTTGTCAATTCAGTGAACAATTTCAGCAGGACCCTGCCATGGCCGTGCATGGCAGACCTGGCATAGCGCAGGCTGCTGCGTGTGGTTGGCATGAATAAACGTGCGTGAGATGCAATAAAAAAATTACTGAGACTGGCAGGCAACTTGATGGCACATAACAGCAACAATGTATTTATTAAATGATCCAGGAAGTATTAAAAGAAGATGGAAGGAATATACTGAGCCATTGTATCGAAAGGAATTGGCAGATACAGAGGACTTTAAAGAAATAACATATGAGCAAGAGCCTATGGTGATGAAGGAAGAAGTTCCAGCTGCTTTGAAGGAAATAGCAAAAAGTAAGGCCCCCGGAATAGATGGTATACCAATTGAAGTATTTCAGCTAACAGATGCTGCCCTGGACGTACTCACCACGCTGTGCCAAGAAATCTGGAGAACAACCACGTGACCAACTGACTGGAAGAGATTGATATTTGTTCCCATCCCAAAGAAGGGTGACCCAACTGAGTGCAGAAACTACAGAACAGTATCATTGATTTCACATGCAAGCAAGATTCTACTGAAGATTATCCAAAAACTTTCACAGAGGAAGATATTCGAATGACCAGCAGACGCATGAAGAAATACTCCATATCACTGGCAATAAGAGAGATGCAAATTAAAACCACAATGAGATACCATCTCACTCCACTAACAGTGGCAAAATTTAACAGGACAGCAAGTAATAAATGTTGGAGAGGATGTGGCGAGATAGGAACTCTTATACATTGTTAGTGGGATTGTAGAATGGTACAGCCACTCTGGAAAGCAGTTTCGGTTTTCCTCAAAAAGCTGAACACAGAAATTCCATATGACCCAGCTCCATTGCTTGGAATATACCCTGAGAATATGAGAACTGAGTTAAAAATGGAGACTTGTACACCAGTGTTCATAGCAGCATAATTCACCATCTCGAAAACATGGAAACAGCCCAGATGTCCAACAACAATCAAATGGATTGAGAAATTATGGTACATTCATACAATGGAATACTATTCATCATGCAGGAGCAATGATTTTGTAAATTATTACCTAGCTTGGGAGGGACTGGAGAGCATTATGCTGAGTGAACTAACTCAATCCCACAAGGACAAATATAAAACCATTATTGTAGAATGAGTGTGAGGATCCAAGGGGCAGAGGGTAGAAGCAGATGAGGATGTGCTGGGTGGGACAGTAGGGAAACTAATTATGGGGTTGTAAGAGGGGTGGGGTGGGGGAAAGTGGAAGAATCTGGTCTGAAAAACAATGTATTTTAATTTTGTCAATAAAATAGCATGTTGTTGTTGTTGTTATGTGCTGTCGAGTCGCCTGCAACTCATAGCGACCCGATAAACTAGCATACTTTAAAAAAAAAAGAAATAAAATCCCATGGAGCAGTTCTGTTCTTTACACATGGGACCACTGTGAATCAAAACTGACTCAGTGGCAATAAGTTTACCTTGTCTTGCTTGGTGCTGCAATGGCAAGAAGTATGTCTTTGAAAGTTAATAAATCATTCAGCACACCTCACCTTCACCCTTTCTGTGCCAAGCCCTGTGACAAGTGCACAGATTAGACTTCATCATCCTTGCTATCCTGCAGCTTTCTGTCTAGGAAGGTATATATACCCAAACAATTACAAAATAGTGTGATATGTGTGTAAATCATAGGCTTGGCTTCTCAGTCCGTGCACAAAGTAACATTTTAGACTGGACGATTCTTTTCTGTGAGGACTGTCTCGTGGATTGGAGGATATTCAGCAGCATCTGCTGTCTCTCTCCACTATGTGCCTATAGTACTTCCCTAGTCTGTCGACACATCTCGTGTCCCCTAGAGGCCATAACCTCCTACAATTGAGAACCCTGGTACCAGGTAAGGCAGTGGGATTTTCTTCTCCCTGGAGTGCCCTGAGGTGGTCAATGAAGTCCCTTGAAGTGTTGTTAGATTCAGTTCTCTTCTCTCAGTGATGTCCTACCTGTGTTTTAGCTGAGAGTAGTGGGGCTGGTCTTTTGGGGCGCCTGCAAGATCTATTCAGCATTTTTTCTTTCTCTTGCCTCCAGGCTGCAGTCAGTGCCATCAGAAAATTCCTCGAGAGCATCTCAGACTTACAGCTGGTCTACACCCACCAGCCCCCTCTGCTCAGGTTCTTCCTGCTGTATCCAGAGCTGATGAGCAGGTTTGGCCACCGGGTCCTGGAACTTTGGTTCTACTGGGAAGAGATCAACTGTGAGGAGGATGACAGCACTTCTGCTGGACAGCAGCCGCCCCTTCCAGCCAACGTGACAGCCCTGTTCCTCATCCTCAGAAGCAGCACCAGCATTCTGCTCATCTTGCTGGTAGGTGGCCATACACTCTCTTCCGTATTTAGAAATGGTGGCTTCTCTCTCTCTCTCTCTGAACTGGTTACTAAGATCACGAGGGACTGCCCCTTCTGTGGCCTACATCCTCATGTGAGGGAGAGGCCCTTTCTGCTTGTGACTGCCTGGATTCTGTAAATCCATACCCTTGCCCTAAATTTGATAGAGCTTCTCTATGTCTGGGGGCGTATGCTGTAAAATAGTGACCCCAAGCAGCATTCCTCTCACAGTCCATCTTCTCTACCAAGCAGATTTTATGAACAGAGGAAACTCTCTGGAATGTAAGTGGAGATGTCCCACTGCAGAGGGACTTGGCCTCTTTTCTGCCATGCTTTCTATAGTGGTGTCCACATAGCAATGACCTGTGTGCAGCACGATCCCGCAGGAAGACCCACACATGTCTCTGGAGCATCAGGCAAATCAGATAGATTGATTACCTGCTTGCCATTTCTAACATAATGACTTTAGCTTCACCTTGCTTTTTCTGCTCAGGAAAGCACATTGGAAAACAAAGTTCATGAGAATTTTATTATTATTATTTAGATAAATGCTACAATTTACCGATGTTTTAAAACAAAATTATTTACATATATTACACCTTATGCACAGTGACAGATTATAATTACAACCTGCCAGGAGACATTGGAGAATCACTGCCTTCAATACCAGCTCACCCACTCAGCCACCCTCAGCCCAAGAAGTGGCAATAGTTAAGAACTCAGTTATTCCTAGGGAGAAAAGATGTGATGATCTACTTTTATAAAAATTACAGCCTAGGAAGCCTTTGGGGCAGTTCTAGACATATGGGCCATTGTGAGTCAGAATTGACTCAGTGGCACACAGCATCAGTAATCCAGAGAAGACAACATAGCCAGAGAGAGAAGAGAAGTGATTCCTTCGCCCTGCAGTGGTACCTTCCCAAGGTGCCTTGTTACTTCTGTGTTACATACTGCACACATTCCAGGAGGTTGACCTGCCTGCTTCTCGCCTGGCTCCTCTCTGATAGTATGAAATCTTCACAACCTCAACTGACTGCTTTAGCTATGCTTCCCTGTTCATTACCCCTGCCTAAGCTTCTCTTTTGTTGTTATTGTGAGGTACCATCAAGTCGAGTACAACTCACAGCCTTATGAACAACACACCTGAACTCTGTCCTTTCCTGTGCCGTCCTCATCATCTCTGACACTCTCGAGTGCATTGCTGCAGTCACTGTGTCAATCCATCTTGTTGGAAGTCTTCCTTTCCAAGCATGATGTCCTTTTCCAAGGAATAGCCTCACCTAGCCACATCTCCCAATTTTTATATTCTTCTTAGCCCCTCTTACTACACAGATGTTTTCTTTTTCTGCCTTACCTTCTGGGATGCTTCGCTAGTAGGTTGACCAGTTATTGTTAAGTAAATTTCAACTCTTGGTGGCTTCATGTGTTGGGGGAGAACTATGGTCCATAAGAGTTTCAATCACTTGTTTTTCTGACATGTATCTTTCAGGCCTTTTTTTCAAAGGTGACTCTCAGTGCACTTAAAAGTCTAAACTTTAGTTTAACGTGTTGCCGCACACTTAAATTGATGACTGTGCTTAGAAACACATTTGCTGTCGTTTGTGGCAATGTGTTAAAAACTCTTCACACCACTCATGGGTTCCGCAGAGAGGTTAGTGCTCTGGTCTTCTTCCTATGACTCATTCTACAGATTTTCAGTCCTCCTCTCCCCAGCTTATAATATTGCTTCCATAATCCTCTTTCTGGAATTTTCAAGGATGTTCTTATCAGCAGCCAACATGATCCCTGACTCTACGAGTGACTAGAAATTATGCCCTCAGAAGTAGTATATATATGCCATGTTCTTAATTACTTAGAGCCCATGCCTTCATTGTACATACCCCATGCTCTAGTATACCCATGTGCACATGCTCTCCATTCAGCAGACTTCAGGCTTCACCTCTCATCCTGAGATCCGTCCTTTTGTGAGGTCACACATGTGTTGCTTGCTAGAGAACATGTTTGTGCTTTGGCTTGAATTGTTCTGTGGAGGAGGAAGAAAGAAGAAGGAGTAATTAAACATAAATTTCTACACATCAACAAGGAAAAGGTAAACAGCACAACTGCAAAATGAGCACAAGATATGCATCGACAGCTCACCAGAGAAAAAATTCAGATGGCAAACAAACACATGAAGAAATGTTCAAAATCCACAAAATGGTACAACTGCTGTGGAAGGCAGTATGGTGCATTCTCAAAAAGTTGGAAATAGAAATACCATTTGACCCAGCAATTCCACTACTAGGAATATACCCTAAGGAAACCAGAGCTGCCACACAAAACAGATAAATGCACATTCATGTTTATTGCTGCGTTATTCACAGTAGCAAAGAGGTGGAAGCAACCCAAGTGCCCATCAACAAATGAATGGATTAAAAACTGGTCCATTCACATGCTGGAATTTTACAAAGCATTGAAATACAACTTTTAAAACACTACACAGCATGGGTGAACCTGGAAGACATTATGCTGAGTGAAATATCTCAGTCACAAAAGGACAAACACTGCGTAACACTACTGTTATAAAGTAGAGCTGACATAGGGGTTGGGAGAACATAGGAAAAGAGTGAATAGATAATGAACACAGCATTGTAGCAGATGAGAGGAGAAACTGTCTGAAAGGAATGTATGATTAGGCATTCTGTATATGACCACAATCTGGAGCAAGAAGGCATTGCAGAGTGGACCAGGGGAGGAGGGAAATGTGGAGCAATGAATGAATCAAACCCAGCCTTTCTGTAAACTGCTGTTAAAATAGTAAAAAATAAAAACACACAAAAAACCCACCACAACATAAATTTCTAGTGCTTTAAGGAGGAAACAAGACAGGAAGTCACAGCAAGCAGCAGTGGACAGAGCTGAACTACTGGGTTTTCTTGCCTGCTGAAGTATTACTACTTACAAATAGATGCTGAATCGGTGAATTAGGTGTCTGGAAAAGAATTACTTCCATTTTTCTGAGAGATATTTGACAGTATATTGCTATCTTTTAAACGTTGAAGAAATAGATTAGATTTTCCCAAGACCACAAAAGTACACATAAAACTCCAGATTTTGGATCTTTGTCTAATATTCATTCCTTCTAAGAAATGGAAACGCCTCTCACGTGAGGGAAGCCACCTTACTGGGTGTTCTCCCTCCTAGAAGGGTCTGTTTGAAAGCTGTCCAGGTGTGCAGTCTGCCCTCCTCCCTGAGCTGAGTGCTGGGGACACAGAGGTGGACTGGATTAAGTCCCTGCCCCATGGTCAGTGAGGGTCAGGGAGTCAGACACAAGAAACCAGTCGTGACTGTACTAACCAGTGGTGGCAGTAAAAATTGAGCAGAGAGCTTTGGTCCAGGAATGGCAAAGGGATGAATTCCATTTGGGAGGCAAGCATTTGACAGATGAAAGGATTGGGTGAAGATTATTCCAGGCTTATATAGCAGCATGAAAGTGTTACTGTGGCCCTTGGAGTATGTTACAGGAGATAAGGCTAAAGAAAGGTACGGGGAGCAGCTTTACAGAAGCTTTGAATTCATCCAGTCACTGACATTCTAAGTCAACATGAATTGATTTGGTACTTAGGAGGTGCTAAGTATTGAGGGAAGGAGCCTGGGCGGTGAGGCTGTTGCTAATCAAAAGTTTGTATATTTTAACCCGGTCCCTCCACAGGAGAAAAGCCCTGGTGTTCTGTTCCTGTGAGGATTGCAGCCTAACAGAGCTCTCCTGGTGGGGGTGCGTGGGGGTGGAGGGTTGTACCATCAGGTCAGTAACAGACCCTCCCGTGGGTTTTCAGAGGTACTTTAACTGCACAGGAGGTTGCCCAACTTTCTCCCATGGAGCAGCTGGTGGATTTGAACTGCATGCCTTCAGGATTGCAGTGCACCTCCTCACCACTAGACCACCAGAGTTGTGTAAACTGTAGTGTATTGTGCTGCTAATACAACATAGGAAACCCTGTGAAATACCTCTACTCTGTCATAGAGGGTGGCTGTACTCCAGAATACTCTGGTGGCATAGTGATAAGAAGTTGTGCTGCCAACCCAGAGGTATGTAGTTTGAATCCACTATCTGCTCCAATGGGGAAAGATGGACAGCCTCCTGTTGTATGATTTATAGCCTTTGAATACATGCTGGAGGGTCAGCTATTGATTGGCTATCACTTGATGACCACAGCAACACAGGACTGACTAGTGCTTTGTTCTGTTGTGTGTAGGTTTGCTGTGTGTTGGAAGCAGCTTACAGCACCTATCAAGGTAGTTTGAGTCAGAATCAGCTTGATGGCCCATACTAACCGCAGACACAGAGGTTGATATTCAGTAATGAAGATAATTGAGATATATTCATCTTTTGCCCTTTAGGAAATAAGTTATTTCATGTCTGTCTCCTTATAGGGACTTAGAAAACATCAGTTGAGGGAGAGAATCATGTAATGGTGAGGTTGGAAGGAATCTTCATCAAAGGCAGCCGGACTTGATTTCTCCTTAACTCCAGACTCACACTAGTTCCTACCCTCTTCCACTCTCACTGTTTTCCTCCTCAAAGCCAAAGTCCTACAAGTGATCTGTTATTTAAAAAAAATTATTTAAAAGAAAATTTTTATTTTATACTAGTTTTCTTATGAAGTTCATATACGTTGTTTTTCACACCACATCTTCCCCATTTACTTAACCCACCCCTCCCTCCATCCATCAGATTGCGCAACCCTGTGGTTAACCAGCCCCACACCCACACCCATCCTCACCCCTCTGCTCCCTCACCCCCCCTGTAGCCTCATACATGTTTTACTCATTATCTTTATATTTCTACAATAATGGTCTTATACAGGATTTGTCCTTATGGGACTGAGTTCACTTACCATAATGCTCTCCAGTCCCTCCCAAGTTGGGTAGTAATTTACAAAATCATTGCTCTTGCATGCTGCATAGTATTCCATCATGTAAATATACCGTAATTTCGTA